CTACTACTATTGCTACTGCTACTGCTGCTGCTGCTGCTGCTGCTGCTGCTGCTGCTGCTGCTGCTGCTGCTGCTGCTGCTATCACCACTGCTGTTCTGTTTGGCTCTGACACCACTTAGCACCATGCTAAATAGCACAGGATGTGGGTACGGCATTGAAAAAGTGAAAGTTGACCATCTCTTTTATGTAGACGATCTAAAGATGTATGCAAAAGATGACAACCATCTTGAAACACTTCTGCACACTGTGCACCACTTTAGTAACGACGACATCAATATGAAATTTGGTCTCGAAAAATGTGCCAAAGCTACTTTCAAGAAAGATAAACTAACAAAGAAATCGAACATTCAACTTAATATTGACACAGTCATTAAAGAACTTGACCAAGAGAAAACCTACAAGTAACTAGGCATCGATGAAAGTGATGGAATACAGCACTGAAAGATGAAAGAAAAGGTGAGAAAAGAGTACTATTGAAGACTCAGATTGGTATCATAAAATAACTGTTATAAATCTCGCATTCTGATTGGTTGGGAGCGCGTGCTTTATGACAGCACACAGCAAGCACGCGCCCTTTGCATTTTATAAAAGAAATAAAAAACTTGCTTGCTGTGCTGTGTGGAGTTATAAAGCACTTGGGAATTGCAGAACACTCGAGGAATGTCGAGAAGCATTCCGCTGCGCGTCGTGCTTCTCCTAACACTTCTTTCGTGATCTGCTAGCCCCCGCGTGCTTTATAACTGCACACAGCACGCGCGCGCGTTTTCTATTTCTTCACTACAGAGAGTGAGTTGAACGCAGCCAATAAGATCCAGGCTATCAACTCCTTAGCAGTACCTGTAGTATCATACAGTTTCAACATCATCAACTGGAAGTTAAGTGAAATAAAAAGATTATAATAATAATAGTAATAATAATAATAATAATAATAATAATAATAATAATCACCTTTATTTTATATAGCGTCAATTCTACAAGATTCAACATATTTTTACAAACTTAAAGCTTAAATTACAAAGCAGTATTACATTAATAAATAAAAATAAATAAATAATATATTCATAGGATAAACTGGTAATGATAATTAGCTAAGATGGTTATTGTACGCTTGGCGGAAGAGCCAAGATTTAAGATCTTTCTTAAAACCTGACAGAGAATCACAGGCTCTAATGTTCATAGGGAGGGAGTTCCACAACTCAGGGGCTGCATGGGAAAACGCCCTGTACCCATAGCTTTTAAGGTTAGCAATAGGTTTTGATAGATTGAGGCTAGAAGATCTGAGAGAAATCCAGATCCTGTTGGAGACTGTGAAATTTGACATCCTGGGGGTCACCGAGAGTAAGTTAACAAAGGAAAAGAAAGATTTGGAAATAGATATAGAAGGCTATAAATTTGTAGGAATAGAAGTACAAAAAATGCTGGTGGAGGATGTATTTTGTATTATGTAGAATCTCTTCTGGTTGTCGAAATGCGTAACCTTTAATAGATAAAAAGTGGGACTCTCTAGAAGCCATCTGGGCAGAAGTGATACTACATTCTCAGAGACTAATGCTTTCAGTCATGTACAGACCACCCAATGATTCTGAGTTTTATGCTACTTTGGAAAAACAGCTGGAAAGTATTTGGATAAAAAGGAAGAACATCTTAATTGTTGGAGACCTCAATGCTGATTTACTAAAAAATGTTACCTCAGATGAAGGTCCCAAGTTACTTAATGTCCTGAGAAAATATAAATTGATTAACGTGATCRAACAACCTACCAGAGTTACTCAGACAACAAAATCATTAATTGATCTGGCAATTATAAGTGACAAGTCTAAAGTTGTGAATTGTGGAGTCTTTGACACTTGTATTTCAGATCATAGACTAAATTACATTGTAGTGCGGCTCTCTAAGATCAAAATTCCACCTTGTATTAGAACAGTTGATGATTGGAAATCATATAATGTTAAAGAATATAAAGAAGAATTAGCTATGGCTCCTTGGCATGTATGTAATRTTTTTGAGGACATTGATGATAACTACTGGATGGCTGAAACCTTATATAATTCAATAAAACAAGAGAAATTACCAACAAGAAAAGCCAAAGTCAGATCTAAATCTCTGCCATGGATAAACAGTAAGATCAGAAAACTAATGAATAAAAGATACAAGCAACTATTGAAGGATCAAAAGACAAAGAATGAAGATGACTGGCATGAATACAAGAAGCTTACAAATCAAGTTAGTAAAGCTTTGAAAAATGCTGAAGCTGTATTTTGGAAAGAAATATTATGTGAAAAGCAGAATGGCTCAAGTAATTATTGGAAAATCATTAAAAAAGTAACCAACAGTGATCGTCAGAAACACAAAATGATGGGTCCCATAAAAGATGATTGTGGAAAGATCATAATTGATGTAAAAGAAAAGTTTGACACAATGAACTGCTTTTTTTCTTCTATTGGGCAAAAGTTAGCATCCTGTTTTAAATCACAAACTGCAAACCCATTGGTTGCATTCATCAAGAAGGTAACTCCAACTATTGATGAAGTAGACCTTGAAAATGAGATATTCCACAGAAAACTGTGTAAAACTAATATCCGCAAAGCTGGTGGACCTGATGGTATAACATCTAAAGAATTAAGAATGTTTGCCAATGAGATACGCTACTGGTTGTCCCTTATAAGTATTCAGAGCTACAGAGATGGTAAATACCCAACAAAATGGAAAAATGGCAAAGTGAAAACAGTATTTAAGGGAGGAGATAAACAAGACTGTGGAAATTACAGACCACTGTCCATGTTGAGTTTACCCAGTAAGATAACCGAATCTGTAATTTGTGAATCACTTGATCCTCATTTACAACTAATACTACATAAAAACCAGTGGGGATATAAGAAGGGTTTGTCTTCAGACTCATTGCTACTGTATATTTCTGAAACCTGGAAAAAGCTAATTGATACTGACAAAGTCATTGGTGCCATTTTTATTGACTTCAGAAAAGCATTTGATTCAATTGACCATAACATTCTGTCTTACAAGATGCAAAGCTGTGGTATCAGTGGAGATCTCCTTATCTGGATAAGTAATTACATAAACGGAAGAAGTCAATTTACTGAAATAGATGGTGTGCAGTCTGATATGTGTGCTGTTACCTATGGAGTTCCACAAGGGTCACTTTTGGGACCTCGGCTCTTCTCCATATATGTAAATGACTTTTGTGACGCTGTCACAAAAGGAGAGATTCATCTGTATGCGGACGACACAACTATCTTTGTTGTTGGAGATAATGTCAATGATGTAGTCAGTCAACTCAATGTTGTCTCTGAGGAAGTGTATCAGTGGACTAATATGAACAAACTTTCTGTCCATTCTGGAAAATCTGATGCAATGTTAGTAAAAAGGAACAGATTTACTGGACCCCTATTACCCGTCACATTTGGAACTACAATAATTGGATATAAGAACAAAACAAAATGTCTAGGTGTAACTATAGATGACAGATTAACATGGAGAGATCATATTGACAATGTCTGTACATCATATAACAAGCAAATTTGTGCCTTAAGAAATATAAGATATTTGCCATCCCAGTTATTAGAGGATATATATTTTATAAAAGTAATACCATGTGTTACATAAGGGATTGAATGAAGGAACACTTTTATTTAAACAGGGTAATCCCTTCAGTTACATGGAATGTATAACTGCTATCAATAGGAGGCCTAATAAATACAAGATAATAAATAATTTAGGTTAAAAGCTAAAATATGAAGCTATAGTAATAAAATCCAAAGTATGTTAATAAGATCTAAAATATGATACTAAAATATAATACTAAGGCCGAGGTTAGACGTCGACCCCACATGCCCCGAATCCAACGCAAACGAGCAAACGCTAACAATTTCATTTGCATTGGGCTCGAGACATGCGAAACTCGACGCCCAAACCCGACCCAATCACACGTAGCCTAGTATATGTTTAAAYATTAATTGAAGTATATCTATATAAAATTACGTATTAATCATATAAAGCAACAAGAAAGTGAAAAAATACGTGTAGAAAAATTATGACAAAGAAATAACTATGTTAAGAATGTATTATAAAATGTGCAACCATAATAATAAAAGCTGCGCTTAGCGATTTCCGTTCTTACCCTAGGTAAATGTAGAAGATGGCTTTGTCTCGTTGAGCGCTTGGAAACAATACTATTAAATTTAAAATAATTAATGAAGAATTGCGGACAGCGGCCACTTATGCGTTTCTTTACTAGTTTAAATGTATGATGGTCGCGCCTACTTGAAAGTGTTCCCCACTTTAAGGAGTCCATTGCGTTATCACTGTCATGGGACTCAACAACTATGCAATGTTCAATAGATTAGAAGATCTTCATATCAAGTCTGCGAGAATCATCCATAAGATATCTACTAAGCCAATGGATTGGGAAATTCTAAAACTATCTAAGTGGCAGAATCTAGGATATCTATATAAACGTAAAATAGCAACAGAGGTCTTTAAGATCAAAGAGTCTGATCATAGATTGTCACAAAATTTCAACTTCATTACAACTGAAAGAAAGGGTGTTTTATTACAAATTAGATTTAAGAACTATGAACAGGGCAGAGATAGTCTTGACTTTCGAGGCCCAATCATATGGAAGAGCCTGGACAGGAGTACTAGAAACATTAAAGATCTAAATACTTTTAAAAAGGTTTTAAAGAATAATAAGAAAATAATTGGCCAGGTAACTTTTTCTAAGGGAACTTGTTTTAATCACAATAAAGATAATAGTTATATATATTATTGATTAT